CTCGCGGAGGGTCCCTGGGGTAGGTTTAGGTTCACTGACGGGTCTGGGCTCCACAGCTCGGTTCCCGAGGCCACTCGATGTGGCTGGAGTGTGGTCGAGATTTCGGACGATGGGTGGCCCTTGAGGGCGAGGTTTGGCGGGCTCCCGGGGCGTTTCCGAACGGTTCCCAGGAGCGAAAGGTGGGCCGGCCTTGAGGCCGTCTCTCTTGGTCCCGCTGGTACCTTGCCGCCCGTCATAATTAGTGACCACCTCTCGTTTGTTAACGAAGGGCGAAGCTGGGACCCCAATTTAGAGTGTGGTCTTGCTGCTCACGCGTCGATCTGGCGCAAGATCTTCCGCGTTTGTGATCAGCATGCAGCGAGGCCCGAGTTCCATTGGACTCCTGCGCACCTTTCGCTGCAGGGGTTAATTGAGCAGAATGCGAGTGCTGGTGAAATCTGGCGTTTTATGGGCAATGCTTGGGCTGATTTCTTTGCCAAGCTTGGGGCTCAGGACATTGCGGTTGCAGATGTGGCAGTAGTTTCGCTCCAGGCCGCCATAAGTGATTGCAAGATGTCCTGTCAGTTCTTGTCGAGGGCTGTCCAAATTATTTGTGCACGTCCTGACGTTTCCGGGGCGCCTGCCCCAGCCCCCGCCCATGCCCCTCGGCCCCGTGGGCCAGTGCTGGTGGTAGTGGCTCACGACACCGTGCCCTTGGCTCCGGGATCCTCGGCCGTTCAGTGCAGGAACTGTTTGGCCAGTGCGAGGACCCCGGCCAGTTGCAAGTCGCTTCTGAAGCCAGGGGCGAGGTGCGAGCCTGGGCCGATGCTGACCAAGCTGGCTGCCGCCACCGAGCGGCTGGGCTGGCGTCAGCATGTCGAGGGGGAGGGGGAGTCTGCTCTTGCTGCTGCCGCTGCCGAGATGGAGGCGGAGGCTGGAGGGCACCTCTTCGAATGCGACGGGCATCGAGTCCACCGGGCAGGGCCCTACTTGTTTTGTGGGCTCTGTGGCGCCCGGGTGGCCCTTGGGTCCCCCAAGCTCGATGCCCTCGGGGTACGCTGCCCACTTAAACCCCCGAATGCGGCCCGTCGGCGAGCCAGGGACTGGCTCGCCGAGGGCAAACATCCAGCAACCGGCGTCGCCCTTTGATGATTAATTTGTCTGGTCTCTCTTGAGTGTTGGTACTTATCGCGCTCACTTGCCTAACTTTATATAGTCGTCGTCGCGTTTCCGGATGCTTCGGCGTTCTATGCTGCGTCCTGCGTCCTCCTCGTCCTCATCCTCCTCCTCCTTTTCCTCCTCCTCTCCTCCTCCTCCTCCTCCTCCTCCTCTCCTCCTCCTCCTCCTCCTCCCCCCCTCCTCCTCCTCCTCCTCCTCTCCTCCTCCTCCTCTCCTCCTCCTCCTCTCCTCCTCCTCCTCCTCCTCCTCCTCCTCCTCCTCCTCCTCCTCTCCTCCTCCTCCTCCTCCTCCTCCTCCTCCTCCTCCTCCTCCGCCTCCTCCTCCTCCTCCTCCTCCTCCTCCTCCTCCTCCTCCTCCTCCTTCCCTCCTCCTCCTCCCCTCCTCCCCCCCCTCCTCTCCTCCTCATCCTCCTCCTCCTCCTCCTTCCTCCGCCTCCTCCTCCTCCTCCTCCTCCTCCTCCAGGATCTGCATGCGATCAGGGGCACACTTTGGGCAGCCCTTGTCACACTGCGTTTCACACCTCACACGTCCACAACAAATCTGTGCCGAAGGCGCGCCTCGCCCCTGTACACTCCTTCCTCATTACGCCGTCACTTGCGCGCAGGATGTGCGAAGTTGACGTGCCAGCCCCCGCTTTGGTTCCAGATTATGCGGCCGACGAAGGGGGTAATGACTCCTCTGCCAGGAGCTCGGAAGTCAGACTGCCCAGAAGCAATCTGATCATTTTGTTCACTTGTTTCGCTAGTTTTCAAATGGGTCACGCAGACCTCACACAGCGAAGGGCGCAGGAAAGTGCGATCGACCTGGTTTCCGTGAATGCGGTCATCTTCTCAGGGGTTGTATTTCGAATGAGGTTCTGCGTAATGTGTTATAGCAAAATGCCGTTGATGTGGCGATGTGCGATGTGCATACCTGCGATGGCTTCGGAACAGTTAGTTACCTGGCATCCGCTGAGCCTGTGCGTAATGGTGTCGATATATATATATATATATATATATATATATATATATATTCGAAGCATGCGTGGGGATGTGCGCTAGTGTACCAAGCGACGAGGGTCATCGCCAGGGTACATGTATCCACATGCGATGATGTCCACACACTTGAAATGTAGTCATGCTGTTACCGTGGTTGTAATACGACGTGCCATCGATGTACAGTTGACATGTCGGACCCGGACGTTCTGCTGAGACCATGATCATGCGACATTTGGTAGCAGACGGGCAAATCTGTAGCTTGAGTGGTGATGCGATCAAACTTAGGACCACCAGTCTCCCAGTTGGGCGTCTCCACGTTTTTCCCACCACCGCAAGAACCCTCAGGCGTGCCTTTTCGGGAGCTTGTGCAGTGATTCTGCATTTTAGCAGTTGTGCGCACTTCCTGAACCATCTGAGTCGTTTCCTGTAAGTTAGGGGACCAGTGGGGATCCCATGTGCGCTGCCAAGCACCAGGCATCGCGAGGAGAGTCGTGCAGGAGGGCAGCAGGTCCTCAGCTGGTGGCGTCTAGGCTTCGACGCCGACGCTGCAGGCGACAATGTCGAAACCACCGGGGGAGCACCGGGGGAGGGGCCGTTTTGGGGCTGAATTTGGGGCTCTTTTCGGACCTTCCGGGCCTTCTTGGGGGCCTCCCGGGGCCATCTCGGGGCGTCGTGGGGCCGTTGTTTGGGGCGCTCCCGGGCCGTCTTGCGCCTTCGGAGGCCGTCTTGTGGGCCTCTGAGACCGCCTTGGACGCTCTGGAGGCAGAAAGGGCGAGAATCCGAAAAGCACGGAACAACCTGCAGTTTTCAATGGCTTTGCCCTTCGACCGACCCCGACGGCCTCCAAGGCGGCACAAGATCCCGAAGGTAGCTTCCTGGACCGTGGGGTCTTGGGCCGTCTTGGGGCCATCTTGGTCGTCTGGGGGGAGCGTCTTGGAGACCATCGAGGGCCATCTGGAGCCGTCTTGGGCCGTGTTGGGAGCCATCCTGCGCAGTCGTTTACCAGCCTGGAACATATCCCTATCCCTATGTTTGACATCACCTCACCTCGATGCCGATCTTAAGGATTCCCTCAGTTTTTGAGGGCCTATCCCTAAGATTGTCATTGCCTTTTGCTCGCCCATCTTAGGGATAGGGATACGTTCGAGGCTGGTTAGTCGTGGCCCTGTTGGGTATAGGTTTGGTGTGCACGACGAGGTTCGAGCGGGGGAGAGGCGCGGCGGACCGAGAGCCAGCGGGAACCGTGAGGAAGGTCAGGAGGGAGAACACACACACACAGACACAATTAATCGTCGATCCCCCAGAAAATATGGGAAAATAGGGGAAGTGGGGGGGAAGACGAGAATCCAACAAATGTGGGAAAAGATGGGGAATCCTGTTATTTGTGTGTATTTATTTGTGTGTCCCAGGGCCCCTTCAAAAGGGTCAAGACGTATTTGACAAGTTGGCATGTCAAGCACCCCTGAGGCAGGCACACGGGGCTGTTCGGATGCAACTCCTGGGAGGTCAAATTCTGATTTAGTCCTGGTCCGAAATCCCGCTTAATCCGGCTTAATCCCGCTAATTAATCCCGCTGAATCCGGTTTCATCCCGCTTTATCCCGCTTGATCCGGCTTAATCCCGCCTGATCCGAGGCCCACTCTGGCTTAACAGCCCCCCAATGGGGCTTAATCCGTTTCAATCCTTCCGACGAAACCTCCCAGTAGTTGCCTCCAACATGGGGCTGCGGATCGAGTGGCCCTCGGCCCATCGTGCCATCGCAGCTGAGGCGCGGATCTAGGGGGCTTCTCGGAGGCCTCTTTGGGGCTTCTTGGGGCCGCCTTGGGAGCGTCTTGGGGGCGTCCTGGGGGCCTCTGGGGACCCACTGGGGGCCTCTTGGATGCCCCTGGGGGACCTTCTGGCCGTCTCGGGGGCCCTCTTGGGGTGGGGGGTGCCCTGAAGGGCAGTTCGGATTCTCCCTCTTGGGCCCCTCTTGAGGCCCGTCTGGGCCAGCTTGGACGCGCCGAGAACCGAAAAGGCGAGCGTGCAACCATACAGTCGAGACTGATGAGCAGGTCGACCCTGCCAAATCAAGGGCAGCCCTGGTGGTCCTGTGTTTCGTGGCCCATGCGCTCTACATTCCTATGGCAGTGTGGCCCTCGGAAGGGTCTTGTGTCCTCTCGCGTGTCCTCTCCAGTCAAACTTGATGGTAGTTCAAGCGCATGGCGGGGTTTTCGATCCTTCGGGCCTCTTGGGCCAGTCCGCCGGGGCCTCCAAGACAGACCAATAAGCCCCCCCCAACAGTCCCAGGGCGGCTGGACGACACCGTTTCCCAGCATGTTGCAAGTCCAGATTTCGACTTTCCCCTTCGAGGCCTCTGGAAAAGTCGTGCGGGCAGCCCCAAGAGCGCCTGGGAGCGCCCAATCCTTCCCAGAAATTTTGGGGTCTGGCTGCCGAATGAGTGTTACAATCGTATCCGGGACTCGGCGGGACCTGAGGATACGCCTCTCAGTGCCTCGCGTCACGGTGGCGGGTATCTCGAGTATGTAGTTTCATTCGAAGAGGTCGCGCGTGGAAGGCATCACTTCCGTGCGCTTATGAGGTGCACAACTTTTCCAGGAAGGTTGTGGCGTGGAGCCTTTTTTCCATCATCCGTTTTTTCTCAGCTCTTGTCGCTGCTGTTGCTTCCCTTCCTCCGAGTAGCGGGCCTTGGCAATGTGATACTGCTTATCTGCTGCCGCACCTGGTGGCCTCTTCGTCATCCATGCTCTTTTGCACCATCTCTTGCTTCGTCGCTGTCGGCTCAAGTTCTTGTGCTCGAGCTGAATATTGCGCTTCAATGTTTTCATCAAGCAGACCAGAGCTCTCTGCGCACAGTGCCAAGTAATGGGTGCCCAAACAACGTTCGTCAGTCGCAGTTGCCAATATTGCCTGCTTGCTGTTGCCGGCATCTTCGTTTACTGTCTGGGTGTATTCTATGGCTCGTCTGGGGGCTTGTCAGCTTTGTCCGCGGGGCGCAGCGTGAAGATGGTCTCTCAGGCCATGCTCCCAGTTCAGCCGACTGTTCCAGACCCGCTCACGTCAGGCTGCAGTTGGGACATAGTCTACCACATGTGGACGAACTTGAGCTCAAATGTAGGCTCTTGTGCAGAGGACAACCCATTCGTGGATTGCTGCAGCGATGAACAGTGCACAGGCTTTCTGCGACATTCGAGCCAGCAGGGGCAGTGCTACAGGTTTGCCGAGATTCCGGAGCAGCTATTAGCGAAAGTTTGGGTTTCTCGACCAGTGGAGCTCTTAGACTCTGCACTGCCATCGAAATGGAGCTTCTATTTGAAGCGTCCCATCAAGAAACTCTCTTCTTCCTCTCCCTCCCCCTCCCTCTCTAACTCTTCCGCCTCTGGAGCGCGCGGCGTTGAGCAACAGTTCAACGGGCAGCAGAAGAAGCAAACCAGGCCAGACGATGAAATTCACGTCGTGTGCACTGTGGACTGCCGTCCTTTCAATTTGTGGCAGAGCGAGTTGCTGTTTTATTCCGCCCTCGTAGCAGAGCAGCCCGGTCCTATCACTGCCATAATATCTGGGTGCTCCGAGTCCCTCATCGCTTCCCTGCAGGAGCGCCACAAACTTCTCGCCTGGCCCACGCGGTTCACACAACACTTTGTCCAGACATTTAACGATGCACGGTCGATGTGGTTGAGCAAGCCATTCGGGTTCCACCAGTGGTACAGCAAATCGGGGCCAGAAAGAGCGATTGTGGCTTTAGTTGATCCAGACTTTATCCAGCTGCCTGCGGCAAGTCCCGCCACCATGCCAGCCCAGCCCTTTGTGTGGCGACTGTTCGCAGGGCGCAGTGACAGTGGCCGCAGCGTGTGACACCTCGTGTTCCGAGCCTTGGGCGAGCCGTAACATGTGACACATTCTTTCGCGCGTCGTACCGGGGTTCTCTTTTCGTCTTCGTCGTCTTCTTCCCTTTCTTCCGTCTTTTCTTGGGCTCCTCTGGGGCATTCTTCGGGGTCTCTTGGACCACTTTGGCCTATCTTGAGGCTGTCTTGGGGCGTCTTGGGGACCCCTTGGCCGTCTGGATGGTATCTTGCGGCCGTCGTGGGGCCGTCCGGGCAGTCTAGGGGTCTCCTCCGGCTGTCTTGAGGCCGTCTTGGAGGACTATTGGATCATTTCGGGGCCCTCTTGGCGGTCTTGGGGCCATCTTGGATGCCTCTAGGGCTTTTTGGAGTTTGGGGAAGCCCGATAAGGTGAAGACACCCAGGCCTTTCAGGAAGCACGGGGAAATCTGTGATGTTGTTTGATTTCGTGTCCCACTCGGGATGCTCTTGTGGTCCTCTTGGGCCGTCTTGGGTGCCTCTTGGCTTGTGTCGAGGCCCGGGCCGCCTTGGGGGGGGGAGGAGGGGGGGAGGAGGAGGAGGAGGAGGAGGAGGAGGAGGAGGAGGAGGAGGAGGAGGAGGAGGAGGAGGAGGAGGTAGGGAGGAGGAGGAAGGAGGAGGAGGAGGAGGAGGAGGAGAGGAGGAGGAGGAGGAGGAGGAGAAGGACCGTGCTGGCCCGACTGGGGCCGTCTTGGCGGCTGTCTTGGAGACATCTTTGGGGCCGTCTTGGCGGCCCTGGCCGCCTGCCTCGGCCGTCTTCGAGACCTGGGAGCGTGGATCTGCTGCTTTTCTAACAAGGGGATCCTCCTCCCCTCCTCCTCCTCCTCCTCCTCACTCCCCCCGCACCCTCCTCCTCCCTCCCCCGTCCCCCTCCCCCTCCCCCTCCCCCCTACCTCCCCCTCCCCCTCCTCCCCCTCCCCCTCCTCCTCCTCCCTCACTCCTCCTCCTCCTCCCCATCCTCCTCCTCCTCCTCCTCCTCCACGTCCTCCTCCTCCTCCTCCTCTCCTCCCCTCCTCCTCCCCTCCTCCATCCTCTATCCCCCCCCCCCCCCCTCCTCCCCCCCCCCCTCCCCCTCCCCCCCCTCCCCCTCCTCCCCTTCCTCCTCATCCTCCTCCTCCTCCTCCTCCTCCTCCTCCTCCTCTCCTCCTCCTCCTCCTCCTCTCCTCCCCTCCCCCTCCCCCTCCCCTCCCCTCCCCCTCCCCCTCCCCGTCCCCGGCGAGGAGGCTCTGGCTCTTCACAGCGAACCGCATGGGCGTCCTCACAGCGAAAAATGCGCACCTGTACTGGAGGTCCCGTCGGGCCCGACCGGGCGACCACTCGGTGGGCACCCTCCTGGGGCCGGGCGCGGAGAAAGGCATCAACATAAGCCTTGGGCGCGCCAGCACCTGCAGCTCGGACAGCACCAAGGTAGGAGCCATCGAAGACCTATGGAGCCAGGGCCGCGGCCGCTGCCTCCAGCTACGGCGCCTCCTCCGGAGAGCAGCCTTCGCGCGGCTACCTCCCGTGACACGAGCCGTGGTCCGCAGCACGGCGCGCCATATGGCGGCGGCACCGGACGTGCTACTCCAGCACTGGTGGTGCGAGATCGGAAAGGTATTTCGCACGTTCTTCCTCGGGCGCGGTAAGGACCGCAGCCGATGGAGGAGGAACCTCGCAGCAGCAACCTACCTCCGCGCGGCGGATGGCGGCCGCACTGGGGCCGCAGCCGACCCCGCCGAACCGGAGGAGCCAGCCGACGACGAGGAGGAAGTCTGGCCTGACCTTGACGGCGGCAGCGAGCTGGCCGAGCTCGCAGGGGTTGAGGACGAGGAAGACATCGAGGACGAGCTCACGGTTCCGCGCGCACCAGCCAGGCGCGCCTCGGCCCGGAAGAGGCCAGCGGCGGCGCAGATAGGGGCAGCCGCAGTCGGGGCAGCCGCAGCGAGTGGCAGCCGCAGCGCTGCCCGGCGGCCCGCGACACCCCGCGCCGGGAAGGAGCCCCGTCGGCGGCCGCGGCAGGCCGCGGCCGGCCCCGGGCCCCCGCCGCCCCGGGCAGCAGCCGCCGCGGCCGCCCCCGGCCGGCGGCCGGCGGCGCTCGGCGCGCGGCGGCGCGCCGTGCAAGAGCGAGGGGAAAAAGGGGAGGCACGCCGGCCAGCCTTGGGGAGCACCCCCCCCCTCCTTTGGACCCCCTTCCCCTTAGAACCTAAGAGGTAACTTTTGGCAAAAGTTTGCCCTTAGGTTCAAAAGGGGGCCCCCGGCCGCCGCCGGGGCGGCGCCCGGGGCCGGCCCGGGCCTCCCGGGGGGGGCGGGGGGGCGGGGGGTTCGCGGTCGGGCCCGCTACCCGGAGGACCCAGGAGGCCCGCGCTGCCGGGGGCCGCGTGGCCCGGCGGGGGATGCATGCTGCAGGCCGCCCCTCCCTTGCCTTTCCTCGTCGCCTCCCCGCCCCTGCTCCCCCCCCCTTTCCCCCCCCTGCCTCCCTCGCCTGCTCTCCCTGCTCCTCTTCGCCTCCCTGCCTCTCCCCTCCTCCCTCTGGGGGTGATCCTCTCGCCCCCCCCCGCCGAAGGGCAAGAGCCCCCGCGAAGGGCAAACCGAGCTCCGACCAGGGCTGGCTGCTTTCCCGGCCGGCTGCCCTCCTGGCCGGCGGTGGGACGCTGGGGCGGACCCCTCCCCCTCCCCTGCTGCCCTCTCCTGCGTTCGGTTCCTCCCCTTGCCCCCCCCTCGTCTGGGCCCCCCCTCCCGAGCCGGAGGGGCCGGGCGCGAGGCCGGTCAGTGGGCCGCCGTCCGCCGGCCGGGAGGGCCTCCGGGCCGGCGCCCGCGGCGGGGCGGCGCGAGGGGGACGCGCGGGGATCCCTCCCTCCCTCCCCCTCCTCTGCCCTCCTTCCGTCCTCGTCCCCGCTCTCTTCCCCCCCCTGCCTCCCTCGCCTGCTCTCCCTGCTCCTCTTCGCCTCCCTGCCTCTCCCCTCCTCCCTCTGGGGGTGATCCTCTCGCCCCCCCCGCCGAAGGGCAAGAGCCCCCGCGAAGGGCAAACCGAGCTCCGACCAGGGCTGGCTGCTTTCCCGGCCGGCTGCCCTCCCGGCCGGCGGTGGGACGCTGGGGCGGACCCCTCCCCCTCCCCTGCTGCCCTCTCCTGCGTTCGGTTTCCCCCACTTGCTTGCCCCCCCCCTCGTCTGGGCCCCCCCTCCCGAGCCGGAGGGGCCGGGCGCGAGGCCGGTCAGTGGGCCGCCGTCCGCCGGCCGGGAGGGCCTCCGGGCCGGCGCCCGCGGCGGGACGGCGCGAGGGGGACGCGCGGGGATCCCTCCCTCCCTCCCCCTCCTCTGCCCTCCTTCCGTCCTCGTCCCCCCTCTCTTCCCCCTCCCCCCCCTCCCTCCTTCCCTGCCCGGGGGGGCGAGAATCCCCGCCGCTGCGGCGGCTCATGGCTCGAACGCGTCGGCCAGTGGAGCTGCTGGCCGTGACCCGGCGGGTTCGGGGTACGAAGACCTCGCCTGCGCCATCGCCCGGCCCCCCCCTGAGGCGAGGCGAGGCGTGGAGAGGCGAGGCTTGAGCTTCCCCCCCTCCCTCCCTCCCCCCTCGTTCCCCCCGCCCCCCCCCTTCCCCCCCCGAAGTCGTGGTGAGGCGCGGCGAGGCGAGGTCGGAGCTTCCGGCGTGGCGAGACGAGGCCACCCTCCCACCCCCCCTCTCTCCCCGCTCCCCCCCTCCCCCTGCGCTGGCTCGTCAATGAAGGCCCGGGACAGAGGCAAGGTAGGGCGTGGCGCGCGGACCAGGCCTCCCTCCCTCGCCCCCTTGCCCGATCGACGGCCCCCCCCCCGCGGGCACCGCCGGCTCCGGCTCAAGACCGGCCCTGACTTGGAGGTTCGCCCCCCCTCTGCCCCGTCCCGCAGTCACCGAGCAAGGCCCCGCGGAGATGGACCGTGGCGCTAGCCCGACGCCGCGCGCGAGCTCCTCCGGCCGCAGGCGGGACCGCCGCGCGAGGCGCCGCCGCGACCGGAGCCGCCGCGGGGGGTCCCGTGACCGGAGCCGCTCACGCGACCGGAGCCGCCGCTGGGCGTCGGGCGACTGCAGCCGCGGGCGCAGCCGCCGCGACGCAACGCAGACCCAGCGCGGCAGTGAGCCGCGCCGCCCGACAGGCGCCGGGGAGCAGCCGGCGCAGGCAGCCGCTTGGCCCCCCGCGCAGGGCTTCGCGGCCTCGGGCGACGCTGGAGGGGAGTCCATCGCAGCGCGGCCCGCGCGCGCGAACCGCCCCCGCCTGCCGGCGCCGCCTGGGAAGGCAGCTGCCCCGCCGCCCGCGCCGGCCGCCTTCCCGCCGGCGCCGTCGCTGGGACCGACGGCGGTCGTGGGGACCAGCCCCAAGTCGCCGCACGGGCAGAGGCGCGCGTGGGACCCGGGCTCGCCCGAAAGCCCCGACGGATGGGCGGCAGGGTGGCCCCGCGGGCAGCCGCCGCCGGTCGCGGCGGGACTCGGGGCCGACACCGGCCACCTCCACGGGTGGGGCGCGCCGCCGCCCAGCCCCAAACCGCTGGCTGGCGTGCTCGCGCCCTTCCCGCCTCAGGGGCCGCCGGGGGCTTTTGGCGAGGGGGGCGCCGCCCCCGCGGGACTCTGGGCCAACCAGCCCCGCGGGTGGGGCGCACCGCCACCCGGCAGCGCGTCTGCCAGCCCGCATGTGCCGTTCCCGCTCTACGGGCCGCTGGAGTCGTTTGGGGCGGGGGGCACCGCCCCCGACGGACCGCTGGCCGGTTTCGCCCCGGGGCCGCGCGCGCCGCCGCCCAAGCCAAAACCAGAAGGACCCCCGCCGATGACGCAGCCGCCCGCCGTCGCTGGGCCTGGGGCCGACCCAGGCCAGCCTCGCGCGTGGGGCGCGCCGCCGGCCGGCTGCCCGCCAGCCAGCGCGCCGTTCCCGCTCTACGGGCCGCTGGGGTCGCTCAGCGCGG